TGTCAAACTCTTAAAATTTGTTTCGTAGTTAAATGAATGTAATCACAAAAAACTAACTATTATAACCCGTTATTTTAGTGGTGTTTGAGTAATTTCTCTAAATTTTTGAATTTTATGCACATGTCCCTTTCTTTTCGTTTTTGTTTCCCAAAAATGCCTGTGCCTAGGAACTCCAAGTTACTTTGAGGGAGAGCTCGTAAGAAATTGTTACTTTTTCGCTTCCAAAAAGTGACCAATATATATATTTATATGAAAAGATCGTTTTTGGTTTTAAGAAAATATTTTAGTTATTATGTAATTTCTTTAAAATAAGAACTTTATCAAAAATAATGTGGATTTACAATGAAATAGAGAGCTCATTTCAAGTAAATTTTATATACCTGGTATTGCCCCAATATCCGTTTCAATGAAAATCAAAACATACGTCTTTAAACCATTTTTGGTTAAAAATACATTTTATTCCATGTTATTAAATCTAATATTTTTTAGTAAAATAATAATCCATTCAACATTCCTTGAACCCCAATTGAAGGAAACATATTTGACATTCATTCGGAGGAGATTCCTAATGAAGAAGATAGATTAAAGTAGCCTATAGAGCATAGAGTAGTAGTAGTATAAGTAGTATAATGAGAAATTATGGTAGTCACCTTTGCATTACAAAGGATTTAGAAATGGTTGTATCCGATGTTAACCTTGTGGTCATTATCATAGGTTATGGATACTCATAGGAACTAGTTGCGATTGTCACTAGAGATATTAAAAATGTGGAAAATATATAATATAGCTCAAGGTTTGAAAAATTGGATCAATGACTCAGATCGGCCAACTCAAAAACCATGTCAAATAGGTGGATCAGTGATATGGATTGGAAAATCCGATGCATCGACAGATTTGGGCCTAAGAAATGTTTCAAAAAATCACTAAAAATTTCCTATAAATAGTGTTTTTTTAGTTTCCAAAAAAATTAGGGCAGCGCATTATGTAATTTTATTATTTTTAAAAAATACGCGAATATTGAGACGTTGTTCCCCTATCTGGATGTTTGTTAACCATTCATTCATATTAATGAAAAAAACAGTTTTTAATAATCAATTAGACAAATACGAAGTCCAAAATGGAGCATTCAACACCTAAAACCCAACATAATATCAAAACGAAAGGGCATGTTGTTCTTCCACTTTATCGAGTTGATGCATCTCATTGAATTATCTCGATAATTCTTTGAGGTGATTCATGTGTGCTTTAGGATCCTCAATGCCAACCTGACTATGCCCACGTCCCCCACGGTTCAAGAAGCTTTGTTCTCTTTGCTTGAAGTCCCCAAGGCTTGTCTAGCCCTCTTGATGGTCCCCACTCTCTTGCTCACCCCCACCCTCTTGTGGCCGGATCTCGAGCTGGGTATATCTTAGTTGGGATAGTGTTGCTATTGGATTTAGAGAAGATGAAAAGCTGATGAATAGTCTAGAGAGACAAACAATCTTGATTAATTCTCATTTACAAGGAATGAAACCCTAAAAAAGTTCATATAAAAATACAAATTTAGTGTAGACCGCATTACCCTCCTTCAAGCTGATGCGGACAAGAGTAAAGTATTAGCTTGTCCACTAGAAAATCATGGCGGCTCCGAGTAACAGATTTTGTGAAAATATCAGCCGTTTGCGTAGTAGAAGAAACACAAGAGAGAGATAATATACCATTAAGTCAACGATCACGAACATAATGACAATCTACGTTAATATGCTTTGTTCGCTCATAAAAAACTGGATTATATGCAATTTTAATTGTACTTTGGTTATCTGCATATAAAGGTATGGTATTTGAAATAGAGATACCAAACTCGTTCAGTGCTTGACTTGAAACAGTTTCCTGTTTCTTGCTCTTCCATGATATTAATGATGACCCAAGAAACGCACAATATCTTGTAGTAGAACAACAAGTATCTAGATCACTTGCCCAATCTACATCTACATATTCACTGAGATCTAAAGAGGATGTGGAGTCAAAGAATAATCCACGAACGAAAGTACCTCAAACATAAGGTAAAATTCAATGAACTGTTGATAGATGTGGTCGTCGAGTATCTAAAACAAATTGGCTTACAACATGGACAACATATGCAATATCTGGGCTAGTCATAGTGAGATAGATGATAGAGCCGACGACGAATTTGTGACACATCGTAGGCTCAGGAAGAGGATCTCCAACACCTATAGAAAGTTTAACATGGAGTTCCATGGTTATATCAACAACCTTCGTATCATTCAAGCACTGAAAATAAGATCAAGGGCATACTTCTGTTGATGGATGTAAATATCACATTTAGAGCGAGAGATCTCAAGGCTAAGAAAATAAGATACTTCATCAAGATCATTCATTCGAAATTCTTCTTGCAATCGTAGCTTCACATCCTTAATGGAAGTGAAATCATTGTCAGAGATAAGAATATCATCAACATATAATAAAATAATTGCAAATTCTATGTGTTGTGGTATGAATAAACATGGAGTGATTATGTTTACTTTGAGTGAAACCAGTTGCAAGAATGATAGCCCAAAAATGCTCAAATCACACACTAGGAGCTTGTTTGAGACCGTAAATTGCTTTATGAAGTTGACAAACCAATGACGTATTGTGAGAAACAAACCCATGTAGTTGATGTATGTAAACTTCTTCCTGAAATTTGCCATTAAGGAATGCATTTTTTACATCCATCTACTATATCAGCCATTCACAAATAGATGTGAATGCACTAAAAGTACGAATAGTTATCATCTTAGCAACTGGAGCAAAAGTTTCTTCATAATCGATGTCATGCTTCTGGGCATAACCCTGAGCAACTAATCGGGCCTTGTGCCGATCAACAGTGTCATCAACTCGTAACTTGACTTAATAAACCCATTTACTACCAATGACATGTTTTTTTGGGGCAATGAGACCAAATCCCAAGTGTGATTTGCTTCTAAAGCTGCAATTTCATCATTCATAGCTATACGTCAGCATTAGAGATTAGATACATGAGAATAAGAAGATGGCTCATGAAATAATGGATTAGTAATGATTGCAGGAGAATAAGTATGGTATGGGCTAACTATTGGGAAGTTAAGACGATAAGGTGGAACGAGCTTTCGAATTGACTGCCGAAGGTGAAGAGGACCGGTAGAAGGATCAACAACTGGAGGTGATATATGATCAACACTTGACAAAGAGGGCTCATTAGTTATTGAATGTGACAATCCCTGATTTTCATGACAATGAGAAGGAGGAATATCGAAACTAGAAAAAAAAGAAAACTCAAGTCCATGTGTGGTTGAATTAGCGTGTGAGCAGTGTTGGTAGAAGGGTATATATTCAAAAAATGTAACATGTCAGGATATTCTAATACGAATAATAGAAGGATCAAAACAACGATATCCTTTTTAATTTGTTGGATAACGTACAAACATGCATTTGACAGATTTAGGTGAGAGTTTATCACGGGTAGAAGATGGTAAAAGCACAAAGCATGTGCACCCAAATACATGTAAATGTGAGTACTCAGGGGGTTTTTGAAAAAACTTTTGAAATGGTAACACATTTTGCAAAATCTGTGTAGGAAGAAGATTAACAAGATAGACAGTAGTAGACATCGATCGCTTCAGCCCAAATACTCTTTGGGGAATTAGAGCTAATAAGAAAAGAACAAGTGGTTTCAATAATATGACGATGTTTTTTTTAGCAACTCTATTCTGTTCCGGGGTATGAGGACATGGACGTTAATGAATAATATCATTTGTACGAAGATATACTTGAAATTCATTGGATAGATACTCCCCCTAAGAATCAGACCTAAAAACTTTAATGTTTTTCTCAAATTGATTTTTTATCATATTATGGAAGTCTTTAAAAACACTAAACACACTTGACTTGTGTTTGAGAAAATAAATCCAAGTATATTTAGAAAAATCATCTATAAATATCACATAATAAGAAAATCTATTAATTGAAGGAACATGAGTAGGGCCCCAAACATTAATGATTGATACTTTTATTATTGCTATGAGGAAAAGGTGGAGCCAAGTGTTTTGCCAACTTGCAACTCTCACAAACAATATTCTTATCAAATTTTTTATGAGAGAAGACAACAAGTAAAAGCCTAAAGTTTGAAAGAGAAAGCATTTTTTGAGAGTGTGGGTGTCCTAACCTACAATGCCAAACATACCAAAGAGAATTTGATTGATTTATTTCATGAGGAGAAGGGGAAAGATTACAAATTGGCAAAGCTTGTGAAAGATGGGAAGGAGCTTTACTGAAACTAACTGTGAAAAGCCGACCCTGCTTAGTGCCTCTCCCAATCATTTTCCTTATTGTTAGATACTGCACCACACAACTTTTATTTGAAAAAGAAACAAGACATTTGTTATCAACTAACTGGCCAACATATATTAAATTCAAAGGAGGGTTGGGAATATGATGAACATTTTTCAATGCTAAGAAGTTACCAGATAGACCAGGGACACTGGTATTACCAGAGTGGGTAACATGAAGTGGAAACCCATTAGCAGTAAAATAAGTCATATTTTCAGAATGAGGTTTATTGAGGATAAATGCGAAAGTTGTCCTGTCAAATGATTTGATGCTCCTGAGTTTATGATCCAAGTGTTTGATAAAGGATTTGAGTTACCTGAAAACCCATGACAGCTAAAACCTGCAATAGAGTGAAGATCTGATATAGATACAATGGTAACAGATGTGGAGGCAGGATGAGAGTGACTGGAAGTGGCAAGGTGGGACTAGGAATGGAGGCAACTGCAGCCCATTGAATCTAACTAGGTACAAGAGGCTTCCCACGTACCTGAGGACGTTTTCGACAATCAGTTATTACATGTCCGAGCTTCTTACAATAATTACAAGACATGCGCTTCTTGCACACATCGGCCATGTGGCCTCTTTGTTTGCATATGTAACAATCCACTTGGACATAATTGATATCTTTGTTAAGGAAATTGGACGTGGCTAAGCTACATCAATGACATCTTGTGATGTGGATTTGAAACCTCAAAACAGCTTAAACGAGTTTCTTCAACAAGGAGATTTGAGAGGCAATCATCTAATGGTGGAGGGGGAGTACGATGAAGGATTGATGCGCTCATGCTTTCAAACTCCGATCGCAGCCCCATAAGGAAGTGAAATAAACGAGACCGATTTCGTGCTTTAGTAACAACTTCATTGGGTGGCTCTATCTCCATTGAGTCCATCTCATTCAATATATATGAAAGAGTATTAAAATAATCTTGAATTGATGAGTCCCTTTGTTGTGTCTTCATGCTCTTATGTTCAAGGGTATACAGACGGGCAGTATTTGCTTGAGAATAAATCTTCCGTAAATAATCCCACAATGCTTTGGTATTAGATTTATACGTGAAGTTGTGCCCAATTTTGGGTGCAACTGAGTTCATAATCCATATCATAATAGAGCTATCTATGACAAGCCAATCACTACGCCCATTTTCATTCTTAGGCTGGGGAACATAACCATCAATATAGCCCCATAACTTTCGTCCCATGAGAAAACGTCTCATTTGGAAAGACCATAAGCAGTAGTTCTTCCCATTAAGACGCACATTAAATAGTAGCATTGTCTATATTACCTTTGCACTCCAATGGTTTTTTTTTTTTTTTATAGAGAAAGTTACTCTATAAAAAAATTTGCAAAGGGAAAAAAAAAATGATAATAATAAACGAGATAAGAGAGAGAAAGAAAATTTACTTTGACCATGTCTTTTTTAAGGAGGCAGTAACACAACCTTACAATTCACGTGTGTATTCCAGAAACCTAAGGAATGCAAAGAGCGCCACAAAAATCTTATGAATAGGAATTTAGAGGATGGTGCAGTAGTATGGAAGACTTGGGCTCTTCTCAACCGTATCCATCTACTATACCACACATTCAAAAGGGAAACGCTACTATTTATCATCAAAGGGGATAGATTGACAACCAAGAGCATAATGAAATCATAGAGAGCGAGAGAAACAAAATTAAAGAGAGAGAAGGTAACAAAATTTGCAGTGTAACAAAATTAAAGAGAGAGAGGGTAACAAAAAGTTTGCAATGTAAGGTTTTCAAAGTGAAAATTGCATATGCAGCGAAGGCAACAAAAATATGCAATGAAGGCAACAAAGGCAATAGAGTTGCAAATTTGGCGATGCAACGAAAGTTACAAATTTGCAATAAAAATTTGTAATGAAAATTTGAGAGATCGATGATTGCTCTCAATGAAAATAAAATTAATTTGATTACGGACCTTCACAAAAAGAGCGATCTATAAGTAGCAAAAAAAGAAGAGATGACATGATCTTTGTAGCGTTGATGGCATATTAGATTTGAGAAGATGAAAAGCTGAGGTATAGTCTAGAGAGAAGCAATCTTAATCAATACTGATTAACAAGGAATGAAACCCTAAAAGGGTTTATATACAAATACAAATTTATTGTAGCGCACATTATCCCTATACAAATATACAATGACAATAAAGGGCTTGAAAATTGTACATTTTATTTTTGTATATACATTATTAGTTATCTTATAATCGTATTCTCTCTCATTTCCTCCCATACCCCCTTCTCACTCTCCTTCAACAGGTGTAGCACTACCTACATCTCCAGCAAATTGCTCAAATGTCAGTGGGCCTGCTTTTGCTCTCCCTCCTCCTCCCTTCTCATCAACATCTTCTTCTTCACATTCCTCACTGATTGCCACGAGAAATGCTTTCTTATTTAGTACTTGAGGCTCTTTCTCCACCAACCACTAATCAGCTGTATCTGCAATAAAATGCATCTAATAGCGTAGTTGACGCATAAGGTGTATTATTTGTATGCAGATATTAGTCAAGCACTGCCTTGCCCATTTGGCCCCTATATATCTTGTTTTGACTCTTTATATTTGAACTAGTTACTCAACTCCATCATAGTTTGAGGACCTAGGTGAAATTTTTAATATAATTGCATTTGCTAAAGGTCCTACACTCTACGATGCTTGCAACACATTAATAGTATTGTAGATCGCATCTACAATTCATTATTGAGAACAAACTTTTTATGTGGCACATTTCATTAAATTGTATTTCTCTGTTTTCAAAAAATTTAAAAGTGACACTAGAATCATAGTTACTACCATTTATATGAGTTCACATGCAACTTAGAATATGAAATCTCATACAAACATCAAGGAAATGGTACATTTGTATGGAAAAATCACCAGTCAGACAAGGCAATGTATTAGGGATTTTGGCATCTCTTGTAACAAACAAACCTCAATCTATTTGTTTGCTTTTTTGCTACTGCTACTTAGGTTGAATAAGATAAAAGCCTTTACTTTTTCTTTTTTCTGTTCATATGCCTATCTTATTTTCTAAAATGAAGGTCGAATTACCTAGTGGACAAAGACATAGAAGACAAGGGAATTATGAAAGTAGTTTGCATCATAATTAAATAAGCACAACTGAAACCTCGAGTATGATTTAACTAAATTTATAATTTATAGAACTTTGTAAAATATAATGATCTTTTTAGTGAGGTTTCACACGTGGTACTATCTTTTGATTTTAGCTTACAAAGATTTCCTTTTTTGACCAGAAAGGTTTAGGTAGTAGAAAGATTTTCCTACAGAGATTTTCCTCTTTGATCAAAAAGGTTTATAGAGAATTTATTTCATTCATGGTCATAAAAAAGTAAATAAAAACAAAGGTTCACATGACAATAGATATGTGAAAAATGATCCTAAATGAAGACCATGCAAATTAAATTAATCCAAAGTTGGCTCTCTCTTTATTATTACGATAACAATACATTGTTCTATTTTAGAGTGGATCCTAGGTGATAGGCGTGGATCTAGTCGCATTTTTTAAAGTGTTTTGTAAACGGAAAATATGTTATTGAAAGTAGAAAATTCATCATAGTACTCAAAAAATATCAACTAAAAGACACCAAAATGTCAACTATTCTCACTTATGATTATGTAAAATTTGATGAATTTCTAAAATTAAATCAATAGAAATAAGTAGAATGTTAAATAATTCATCTCTTGTATTCTTTTTGGTAAATTTCTATAGAAAGTTATTGAAAAAGTCTTTTATACACCAACTAGCCAGCACGACCACTTCCTAAGAATAGTATACGATAAGATCAACATAAACGCATAATACATGCATTTGGTAGGATTCCACTCTTACATGTGTTTAATTACCTTTGTCATCATGATCTGTTTAGTCTTAAACGATTATGGAATATTTAGGTTTTGGAATCTCATTAGCGTGCATTGTAATAACATAATCTTCTTACAAAATTTACCCAAGAATGGTTGATAATGTAGATACAATGTATGTAATTAAAATGCACCACCAAGGAGCGGTTTTGAGAGTGTTCTATTGTTGGTTGAGTGGAGGTACACTTACCAAGCGCGTAGAGGTGTCGGTACTCAATAAATGATTTTTGAAATTAAGATATTCTAAAAATGGTCTTTAATTACCCATATTCTTAAAGTTATCCCAAACCATGTTAACATGTTAATAGACCAATTAATTTTGTATTGAATTTATCACATGTGTTACTATTTGTGAAATCTTCATTACTTTACTAAGTACTTAATGTTATATATCTAAAATCATAATTAGGGAACTTTAATCCTATAGTCATATTAAAAGTCACTTATCCTATTTTAGTCTTTTTACTTTGGGGTGCGGTTTGCATAGAGCCTAGGCTCTAAACAATCAAATTGGAGCTTATCTTAAAAAAATAATTTAGATCAACAGATCTATGAAAACTTGAAAATCTTGAAAATTGACGGTCTAAAAATGCGTTATAGAATACATTATTTTCGAAACATAAAATATATTTTTTTCCCATGTCCATGCATCTTGATGTCAAGATAATAAATTTGAGGATATTTGGGCATCAAAACTACATCTTCGAATGAACTTTTTGAGGTAGGCTCTAATTTGATTGTTTAGAGCCTTGGTTCTATATAAACTTTTCCCTTTACTTTGTGGGTTTCTATTTTTAGTTTTCAAAATTACAACTTCTTTTTTAAGTGTTGCTACAATAAACCATGGTTTTTTTTGTCATTCTCTCTAAAATAAATATGTTGGTTGTCAACCAAAGATAATTTTAATTACAATTACCACTATGACCTCCATCATGCCTTACCCATCAACTGGAAAATGTGAACCTATGTTGCAAACATCTTTAGAAAACTTATCATTGAGAATAAGATAATATGAAAAAAAAAGGTTATTGCATCATTATTTATAGCTGATGCATAACCTTTTGAAAACATTGTTTTCAAGCATGCATAAATTTGAATAGTTCATTTTAGAAATAAAGATCCTGATATTTCTATGTGTCTTCTCATTGTCCAAAATTAAACAATGAAATATTAGGTATAAATCCTTATAATACAAATGAGAAGAGACACAAAGGTGATAATCCTAGATATCTAAGTAAATATTGTCAATTTTGGTTCGTCTCAAATTTAGCATTAAAAGATGAAAAAAAAATAAAATACAAAGCTTGTGGGGCTAGTGGGCAGCCAATACAGTAGTCACAAAAATATATCTTTTTTTTTGTTATCTTGTTCCTTGATTCGAAGTTTGAGATTTTGTAATACAAGAGTTCCCTTTATCTATATAAGATTCAATATAAAGTTGCTAAGGTTTAAGTAGGATAAAACACCTATGACAATTTCATAAATTTGAAAGAATTAAACTGAACAATTTAAGTTTTAAGCAAGATTTCGAGTTTTATTCACATGATCCTCCTTCCAAGGGTAAGATATCAGATACAATGGCCCTAGTGGAATAAAATGTCAACTCTCTCTCTCTCTCTCATAGACATACACAAATACACACACACACACATACACTCTTTTTCTCTCTATATCTCATTCATTAGACTCTAGAGCTTGGAAAAATATAGTGCACTACGAAGGTCTCGTTTTATCAACCAATTGTATTGTTTAATCTCTCATTCTCTCTCACCTTACGTGGTTGACTCTTTGTTCTTGGCTTTTAAGGCGTTGAAGAAACATTTTTTTTCTCTATTGCTTGCGATTTTTTCGAAAGATATGAGTAGAGATAGAGATGTAATTAGCATGCACAGAAAGACCACCTCATAGATTCTTGTGGGCTAAGTTAGATATGTTGAAGAAACACCCTTTCTTAATAGAAACGACAACCCAATCTTCCCGACTTAGGCAACATATGCTTACCCCATAAGATTCCACTCTTTCCTTATAAATTCATAATCCTCTCCCCATCTCTCTCCGCTAATTAACCCTATCTCTTCCCTCTCTCTACCCTCGGTATGTGTTCCTCTCTCTCATTTCTTCCTCCCCTCCTCTCTCCCTCATGGACTACTCAGGCCGCTTGCCCGGGCCGTGCCCCTCTCTCTCCCTCTCGTTCTCTCATACTCTCAATCACTCTCCCTCTCTTTCATTCTTAATCTCTCTCTCTTTCTCCCTTAAAATTCTCTTCCTCTTAATCTCTTTCTCTCCCTTAATCTATCTCTTTCTTTCTTAATCTCCCTCTCTTTCTCTGTTAATCTCTCTCTCACGTTCTCTCTTAAAATCCCTCTCTCTTTCTTT